GTAGGTATAGAGTTCGATCCTGGTGGCCGACAAAGCAACCGGCAAGTATGCGTAGCAGGGAGCACGTTACATCTGTCGTGACTCTGAAAGTCCTCTCTTTGGCTGTGGCGTGAAATTTTGGAGAGAGGGTTACCATCTCAGGCGCTGTCCACGTCTTCTGAACAGAGTCAAAATTACATGTTATTCCTACAATGGCCATTAAAAGATAGAGTCCTAGAATTAGGTCTAAAGTGCTGGGCCATAACCTCTCATTGGTTGGGTGATGATGATGAAGTCACCCAACCAACCATACGTTGCTGAAAGAATTATTAGCACATTGTTTTCATTTGAGTCGATTAATCTTTGTAAATCAGGATTCTCAATAACGCTACAAATAAAAATAACAAAATAGACAAAAAAGTTGAAAGTGAGTGCGTATTTTTTTTTTTTTCATGCGCTACTTTGTGTACCTAAGAATTATCGAAGAAAAAACAATCTTAGATCTATTATTAAACATACAGTGAAAAATAATACACTGACTTTCTAGGGTAAGACAATTTTTATTCCAATAATTGAAAACTGAAACATTACTAATTTATTTTGCTTAAATAATTATTTTGAAAACGAAACAAAAAAAAACTATGAAAACATTGGTATATTAAAAATTTCTAAGCTTTCGTAGTTTAATTTTTAAAACATGATAAGAAATCATCACAATCTCATTAAATTCAGTATATATGTTACTGTGAAACACCGAAATCGGTAACTGTCGTCATTCACCAGTGAATGTCAACAATCATATAGTCACCTTGGTAAATGTCAGAAATATATGCTAGTTCTTATCTGATATTTATTCGATATTTTAATATCCGATTAAGATATATTAGGAAATACTTCAGCGTTAAGAATACCATCCAGGTATGGGGATAATTACCGGTATTCTCTACCCTAATGTTCTTTTAAGATTAAAAATCTTTGCTCGGTATTCTCTACACTGATATTCAAAAAAAAAAATTAAGTGCCACTGCCCGGTATACATTTACAAAGCATTCCCCAAACTAATGTTTTTCCGAATATATCCTAATCAGATATTAAAATATCGAATAAATATTTATTAAAATATCAATGAATAAATTAATATCAAATCGGACATAACAACTTTTTCGGGCTTTCACTAAAGTGACTATATGGTTATTGATTTTCTCCAGATTTCCGTCTTTCATGTTGATGTAGAAATGTTTTCGGTTTTTGAAGGGGGGTAACGAGCGTCTAGAAATAATGCAAGAGGGTTAAATGGGTCATAATAGATTAAGAATCACTGATTTAAGTACGATTTTTAAATTGAATTCAAATGAATTATCTAAACACTTAAATAAATCATTTGTCATTTTAACTTTAATTTTGTGTAGTGGTGTAAACAATATTTTTTTACGTCATTGAGGCAGAAACGCGTGCTACATTTTCGACGCGAAATGCTACAATTTCATGAGTGCCAGACCTTGTTTTTTTACGTGTACATCAACAAACTACAGGAGTGTAATGAAAAACGATCACTGGTTATTAAATTATTCGATATTTCCTAAATAAAAATACTCATTTTTATATTCAATAATAGTGCCCCTTTTGTTCTATTCGCTCGAATTTACGATTGGTAACGATGAGTATTATTTTACGTAACACCCTCTTACACATAATGGGTCAGTGGCCTTATCTTTCCAACGTTTCCGTGATTAAGATCACGCAATTTTCGCGTAAAAACAGCCCGCGAATTCCCTTTTACTACCCCTTGAAACACTGCTCACTTCGTTCACACCAAAGTATAACGAATGCTTTGGATGCTTGAAAACCAACGAGTATCAATTTAAATTCTGATAACGACGCACAAAGAAAATCGATATCTTAGGTATATTTGCTAACTTATAAAGGTTAGCGAACTCTAAGAAATTCTTCAAGTGTTTTATTTGTTTTTACCAAATATTGTTTAGTAACATAAATTGATTGTAAATTGTTTTGAACTAATATAATTATTTTAATACTGTAGTAATAAATTACTTAAAAATATCACCATGGGAGAAAAATTAAAATTTTGAGTCTTAAGAAAATCTTTTTCAAAGATCTTATCTCCATTTTGTTTTGTTGTTTCAAGCCAAAATTTTCTCATTGGCATGTGTTTTTTCCAACATAACAGCTTACGTCTTATTTAAATCCGTAATTTTTTCGGGACTCTAATGTTTTCATGCATTTTTACTCACGCTATTTGTTTATAGTCTCCAATAGCAAACATTCAATTTAAGAAAGAATTAATCTTAAATTAATATTTTAATTCGCTTTAGAAATGAAGACAATTCATAAAAAACAAGAAAAATAAACCTCCAAAAATGCAATAATATACGGAAAATATGCAATAACAATTGAAAGAATTACTTACTGTTTTTCTTTACCACAGAAAATTATGCTTCAAACTTTATATTCTTAAACTTTTCTTTCGAATTTATTCTATTGATAACCGCTTCCCGCACCTAACAATATGATTTTCAGACAAAGTTAGGCCATCAATTTTTAGATCTATTAACTCATGATAATATCACGCGAATCACAAACACATTTGATATGTTGCGAAGAAATCTTCACTTGATGTAATGAATCGGGGATGTGATGTCACAGGATTACTCGATTGTAAAGAAAGATTTTTTTTTTTTTTTAATGCTCCTCAATTCTAACGTACTTAATGTCTTCGACACCCTTAAACCTTGATCGTTTAGCAAATTTATCAGTTTAAAAAACAAAGAGTCTGTAAGAGATGGATAAATAATTGATCTTCGCAACTCCGAAACCCAATAATAAAAGGTTTGAAGACGATGAAGTCATTAACCTTTTGATGCAGATGGAACACATGTGTTCCTTTTATATATTATTTCTGAAGCTCTAATTACAAGTAAAAATACATTTTGATATTTTAAATTATGAAAAAACAGTCTAATTACTAAACTAAATTGTTAGATTATCGGAATTAAATTTGTGCTAAAATATAAAATACGAAATAAGTAGTTTGAATTGTTTTTTTTTTCATTCACATTCAAAGATTTATCAATTTCGTATATTAAAGAAAATTTCAATGATAAATAAATGTTTTTGTTAGATATAAATAACTGCAAATGAATGTACATTTGAAAAATTATTGTTTGGAAGTGAGCAGTGTTTGAAAGATTTTGCCTTTAACGCAGAAAAAGGACAACAGCCTTTCATTTTATAACCATAAATTATTAAAATGCTAAATATAATGTTTTTCACGTATCTTGAATTAATTTAATATGAAATAATGAAAAAAGTATGAAAATTGTGTATAAAATTCTTAGTCAAAAGGTTAAATAAAAAAAACCTAATATCAAAGTTAAAGAACATTCCAAACGAGGGCTTTAAAAATTGTTTCTAAAACTTCCAAGTACAGAATAGTACATTGTGGCAGATGAAGACTACTTCTAAGCATATTAAATTGGTTGGAAATTAAAGATAGATAGGAAAATCGAAGTAATTATATCGGTCTTAGAAATTAATAGTCGCACCTAGTACATTTGCTGCGTTTTACCTTTTTGATATTGCATTCTTCTTAAACCTTAGTTAGATACGTGAAGAATTCTTTCTTCCCCAGCGCCATTCAATTACAAAAATTTCATGGACATTAACTTCAACATTTAATTAAGTGTTGGGTCTCGATATAATTGTTTGATAGAAAAAATATTTAATGCATTAAACATAATTTCTACCAAAGTAATAGCAGAACAACTTTCAATCAAAAAATTCGATTTTTTACAACTAATATTTTTGATCTTCATGCTTCCAAATGCCTTCATAAGCAATGGTAAATAGTAAAGAGCAAACATTTACCATACCTAAAATATAATCATTTGGTGAAAATTTTTTGTAAGTTTTTTTATGGTCAAAAGCGAGCATGGATTTTTTAAAATGCGTGTATCTTATTTCAGGAAAATAATTCATTAATAGTTCGCCGAAAAAGAAATCTTACGATGAACTTAAGCGAAATTTTAAGTAGAATAATCAGATTTAAATAATTTTAACCCAATTTATATTAGCAAAGAAGTCATTAGAACTGATTACAAGATATTGTTCAGAAAATAATGCTTTTAAAATTTCTGGTCCAGACACATGAGAACGTCAATGGAATAAGCGCTGCATATAATGCCACTTTTATACATTTCAAGCTATATTTTTAGGAGGGAATAAGTTTTAGATGTTGATCGTAGTCGTCGATCGATGTAAAAACCTTCAATATTTCGAACTTGTCGCAGATTTCTTTTAACACTATTTCAACTAGGTGGTGTCAAGAAATACTTTTCAAATTTTAATAAATTATTTCATCTCAACTATTTTTTGACTTTTCGTACAATAGTTACTAAATTAAACCAGTAATTACATTCTCCATCAGCTCATACAGAATGTAAAAATGTGCATATCTTATAGCAACCTATTTCAATCATGTGGTCTTTTAACACCATAAAGAATTTCTTAACTGGTGTCCAGATATTTTTTTGTCGAAATAGGTATACAAAAAAACTCAGTATTACGTTATGATAGAAGATGCACACGAAGTTACATATATAGTAAGGGAAGATTAAAATAACATCCGCTGCAGACAAAAGTGATATCTCCCGAGTATTCTATGATTAGTTCAAGATTAAAGTTTTGTCTGTGTAGGGACCGAGGGTGTGCGGTATTGGTCCTCGTTAAACTGTTCTACAGTAAAGTGCTCGACTTCGCGTGCAAGTCGTCGGACTACTGAAGCGGGTGTGCCATCCCCTCAGCAGAGGATCGAATTGTGATGGCATGTCTTCGGATCATCCTCCGGGAAGTTTCCCAGGCAGTCGCCAATAGCACAATGCGCAGCTCCAGTGCGACGTAAATGAACTACAACAACGTTCCCAAACTTTTTTCCCTTCAAAATTAGTACAAATACGTTTGTATGTTATAGAGCTATATTAACTAATAACATTTGTAAATTTTAGGTAAGATCTGATGAGCGAACAGAGAGAACAATGGGCCTGGTATGCATCGTCCACTATTTGCCTCATTGGTGGTATGCTTCTGGGTACTGTAGGTGTCACAATGATAGTTATTGGTTTGCACACAACAGACAAACTAGAAGACAGAGTTTGGGAAGTCTCCTTGCTCATAGTTGGGTCAGCTTTCTTCATCATTCTACTTGGAGCTGTGGGATGCGCTTATTCGAGGAGCCGCGACATCATACGAAACAGAGAACAAAGTATTATTAAATGCATAGCATTTCACACCAGCATGGCCGAACTTCCGGAAGGCACAAGTGTGCCACCTTGTTGTTCTAACTCAGAAGCTGTGAAAATATGGACCACGATCAATCCTCATTCAAGAATGGCCTGGAATTCAGATATACCAGGCTCTTTGGAAGATGAAAAAGATAGCGACAAACCAACAAGTGCTTGAGGCTCAAAACAAGCGATTCATACTATGTTGTATTGCATTGTACAAATTGTAATTTATATTAACTGATTAAATGGGAAAGACGCTTTCATTTGCAAAGAAAAGTGACAATCAGAAACATGCCTTTCTCTATAAAAGTTTTGAATTTTAAATGTTTTCATACTTTCAAAATCGCTTTTACTACCTTCATGGAATGTTCTTAAGCGTATTGCTCCAAACATCATATTTTATTATTCAATCATTATTTGCAAAGGTTTGTTTCATACAAATTATGTGCTACGAAGCATTTTAATTTTCTTCTGAATAAAGAATTAAACTACTAGCAAACTGCATTTTTATTTTAAACTTTATGTAAATAAGATATTTATTTAAGTTTTAACCTTTAAAAATAATCTTATTTTACTCACTCTGTGTTTGTGTGAACTTGTGCATTTTAAATTTTTCCGTGCATCATACAAGATTGTATTTCATTTAGTAATTTAAAAGTAGGTTTGATTTGTGACATGATCAAAAAATTTAATGATGAGTTTAATAGCAAAAATGCTGAAAGGACTAAATTGAAACTAAACTTAATTCATAATCAAGGTAAAAAAAATGATGTACAGTTCGAGGTGGAAAGTTAAGAGCTTTCTAGAAAGTCAATAACTTACAGAAGATATTAGTTTTAAATATTAAAATTAACAATAAATTATATTAATTGACTTTTAAATTAATAATAATTTTTGTTTTACACTTAAAAATTTTCCTATTAAATTTTTCAAGCAGCACCATAAATTACATCACTTAAACAGAAAATGCATTAAACTAACTGAAATGCACAATCAAAATGTTATGTGTGTGGCAAATGCATTCTATCTCATAGAACGTGTATTAATCACAAATAGTATCGTTTAAAATTTTTTGTTCTTATGAGTTTTGTTAACAATTTGTTACTCACAGCAGATCTCATTCCACTTTTATAGGGCATAAAATCATCAGAAACAAAGTATGGTGCATCCAAGTTATGAACGCTGTGATGACATTAGAATTGAATATTTATTACACTATTGATTTTGGGCAAAATGGTGAAACAGAAATTTTTTTGCTACACATATTCAAACTTTTGATTTGATTAGCAGATAGCCTTTTAAATATTTTAAGAACCATATAAGTTATAGAAAAATGAAGTATTTAAAGTTATGGGGATTTTTTTCCTTAACTGTTTAATATTCCATTTTTACTATTAAAATTATTGCAAAAATACACACATTTTGTAAAATATAACTATGTAGTAAAAAAAAATTCATTATATCGATTCTGAATTTCTTGCTTGTTTTTACTTTTATTCATTCATTTGAAAATCTTTGAAGAAATTTGTATGTAAATATTTTTTTTCCAATTTAACCTAATTTGCAAAATATTTTTAGAGAGAAGCCTATATTTTATATGAAATGGCTTTCAAATAGCTCTGAAATTTTACTTTTCCTTCATGAAGGGTGTAATAATGTAACTGGAAATGCTGTTACACTAGATTCTAATTATCTTTATTAAAATAATTATAAGCTGTGATTCAATGTCTTATATATATGAAGTAAATACAATAAAGTTTTATGAAGATGAATCAAAAGACGAAAATTTTCCTCTTAACACTTTATTAAATATTTTTTTTTACAAAACTATGCATTAAAAATATATGATTCACATGTTACATAACATGCATAGCTTTACAAAATTATATACAGTTTTACAACTTTTGAAAATCTGTTTAAGGATGTTTTTAATATTTGATCCAACTCCAAATATGTAATATGAAAATGTAAAATGTCAAAATAATAAAAACAAACTTATCAAATCCAGATCAAAGCGACCTTGAAAAAATACATTAAAATACATTTTGCAAAGAAATACTTATAAACACTTTTTTATACTATTAAGTACAATAAAACAATAATGAATTCTGATAAACACTTAATAGCTTTAAATAGTAAAATCTTACTTTGAATAACAATAAACTGTAATTCAAAGTATTAATATACATTCATATCAAAATAAAAGTATAAACAAGATCATAAAAAAGTCATACTCATTACCAGTCAAGTTTGGAATGTTTGAGTTTGTAAATTGGAATGCGACTGTTATAACAAGATTTAATAAATCTGATTTAACACCACAAAAGTTATAGAAAACAAGCTTTTCTGATATATACTAATTTACCTATTTTTATCATTTTTCAGGCAAATTATATTTTTTAAACATATATATCACTTCTTTAAATATAATGTTGCAACCTCATAGGAACAGTTCTGTGTGTCAAGTTCTTTTGCTAGTTAGTTGATGTTTAAAATAATAAAAAAATAATAAGTGGCGCTTTTATGTATACATATAAAGGGTGGTCATAATTAAATTAGAGGTGTTTAAAGCCTGATACAGCAAAAGGAAAGCTGAGGGTCTACAATAATAGATCGCAATAAAACAATTTAATTAGGAACACATATTCAAAATTTAAAACAATAAAAAATATTTTTCCACTTTTAATTGTAGTATGTGGCAACTCGTTAGCTGGAAAAAAAGGATGTCATTGTTTTTCAAGACAAATTGATCAGGAGAACTATAGGAGAATTTATTGTACAATTTAGAAATTAATAGCAGCAAAAATCAAAAAGATATCTTTCACTTACACAATATTATAAAAGATTGGGAGAAAGTTTTTAATTGGTTTCCATCTTCATATCTGGAGTAAAGGGGCTTCAGAGAGATTGTCAATTTCCTGACAGAAACAAGAAACAGACAGAAAACCAAGGAATGAGAAGAATAGAGATTATATCTGATTTAAATTTACACAAAATGTTCATTCCTCCTACTAAAAGCAATAATATTTTGCTTAGTTATTTTATGTAAGAGGTAGTAAATTTTAATTTGGTTTGTTTTAATTACACTTCAATTAGAAAAATATATAAAACGTAAAATTAGTTTTTTTTTTTTACTTTTGTGTTTGCACTGTCAGAAATCTTTCAAACTTAATACCACTTTTCCAGTTGTTAAAAACAGGTTTTAAGAGGATGAATTTGAAAAAATTCAATATTGGACAGGCAAGCAGTCAACCAAGAGCCTAAAAATATAGCAAGCAGTGCTAAAGACAAGAAAATTTGGGGACCTCTGAGTAGGACCATGGAAATTTTATTTTAAAAAATAAAGTATTTTGTTTGCCACCTGGCAACGAAATGGTAAAATACGACCCATTTTAGCGGTAAATTATAGCAAGTAAAAAAAATTAACCTAGGTACACAGTGGCAAAAATATTGAACTGATTTTTTCTTATAAAATTCAAATTGACTAAATAGCATCTACTGCAAAATAAGTTCAGTTTTGTTCAACAGTCTACTCTTTATTTAACTTCAAACATCTCTATTTTAATTATTGTCACCCTGAATAGATATATATTATACATACATATGTAAGTACACATATATAAATACACATATAGTGCTGAAATAGACAACATAGATATTTTACAAATAACCTTAAATGGAAATAAAAATTTTAATTCCATGCAAGTAGAACATTAGATTAATTTTTTGCATTTATTATTATTACTTAACTTAACACAGAGAGAACAATACAAAAACAATAAATAGCAACCAGCATGAAAATTATATATTTTAAGCTACACAAGTTTTTCTATGGAAAAATAAAGTATTAAAGCAATTTTTTTTATTTATAAAATACAAGTGTTTTTTTTTTTGAAGAAAGAATACCACATTCTCAAATTTTGAAACTTAATAAAGACTTAAAATGTTTCTAATATAAACAAAGAAAAATTAAGTTGCTTCGATAAAGAGGAAAAGAATAAACATAACTCTTTTCATAACATTTTTAATTGATTTAAACTTTGAATGTGTATAAATTACAAAATTTCTAATCTGTCAAAATGTTCTACTGGACTATACTCATTTACTTTTTAACTACAGTCAGAACAATTACAAGCACTAAACATAGAATTTTTTTTAACCATTTTAGCACCTTGTCTAATAGGAATTATAAATAATTTTCTTTTTCACTACAAAAATACAATAGAAAAAATCTGAGAGTAATGCTTGTACAACTGGAGGATATGTCCATGTCTTAAAAGTTTATCTTATTTTATTTTTAATGTTTTAATTTACGTAAAAAAAGATGCTCTTTTAAATCTTAAGCAAACTAGATCAATAAAGCTAAAAAATTTTAAAAAAAGGTAATATAGCCTTAAAAATGCAATCAAAATAGTATCAAAGATTTATTTGAATAAGAAAGTTAGCATTCAGAAACTCTTCATATGACTATTATATTAGATCAAAACAAAAATGTTCTTCACAACCAATAATTTATATAAATAAAATAAAACATACATTAAATAAATATTATTCTAAGCAAACATCAAATAAACTACATCAATGGAAAAGTAAAACTAGTAAACAAATAAAATAAGGTTCATTATATATTAAACTAAAAATATAATGAATACTCTGAAAACTTAAATTATTCCACTGGGATTAGCTCAGTTTTTATTTTGACATTATGACTAGTGCAGTTTAAAAAGAAATTCCTTTAAAATTTAAGAAGTTTAAATTATGCATAATATAATGCCACAAAAAGATAATGTATTTTTTACAGGTATATGTAAGCATATAATTAGCACTTAAGTTTTTATTTTATTAAAGCTTGAAAAATGAATACATCAATGCATGACTTATAAAAGAGGTAAACATGAACTATCACCAAATGCATAAAATAGTAAAAAAAAGTATTAATTACATAAAAAATTACATTCAAAAATAAACATTTAAATAAAATAACTTTACTAAAGCAGATTAAAACAGAGGCATCATTCAATTTGTCATAAAACATGTGTGCATATGATTTCTAAGATAAGTGGAAAATGTTTGATCAGAGGTTCGACGTTTAAGAAACATTGTTACAATAAAAATTCCCATTTTTTTTAAAAATTAAGATAAATATATAACAGGCTAAATCAAGTTTTGATGACTAATAATTAAATTTTTATGGGAGATTTAATGAGGAACATATGAACATATTTTACAAAAAGAGCTTGAATCAAGAATTAATCTTTCTATAAATGAAGTCCACACATTACACACTTTATTTTCTGAATAAAAAATTTAACCTATTTGATTAAAAACATTCCATGCATGGAAAATTTATTTTTACTGTAAGTCTGACATAAAATTATTCGTTCAACTAATTCAAAAACACCAACCTTAACATAAAAAATATATACTTTCAAACGAAGCACCAGAAAAACTATTATTTTAGGACAAGAGAAATTCTTTGTCTCAATCTCCCCTCTCCTAAATAAAAAACAGACTCACATTATTTTGGGCTAAATTAAAGCAGCATGAAATCTAGCCCATGAAAAACCAAATACAGAATTTATTGAAGTTAAATTGCAGACTAGGTAGGATGTAAAGTTTTATGTCTAATACTTAGCAGAAAAATAATTGCATGCTATAATTAATAGTTTTCTTTCCAAAATTAGCATTGCACTTCTTACGCAGTCAGCGTAATAACTTTTAAATATATATTATACATCAATAGTATATTTAAAAAAAAAAAAAAAAGACTTCTGCAATACAAAATTTTAGTCTTGTTCAAAATGCTATCAACTCTCATTATAAACACATTTCATACATAGCTGAAAAAACCTGAAATTCAATTATTTATACAAAATATTTGTTAGTGACACATGTGGCACAAGTTTTGAAACTATTTAATGATGGATACTAACTAATCTAAATGATACTTAGAAAGAAATACCATTTGATTGTCTTTAATTTTCCAACTGATTTGAAAATATGTATATATACTCTTTGAAAAAATTAGAGAATTTGTGTAGTTTCACAAAAGATACTAGGTTTAAAAGCTAGCCATATCATTAAAATATACAAGTGTGGTTTTATTAACTACACTAAATTCAAAAGAAAACTGATATTTAACTTCAACAGTTAAGCATTTAATGCTAAGCAATATTTTCTATGCATATTCAACCAATATCCCTGAGTATTCGAGATTGTTCTCAAACCAGAGGACATTCATTTTATCTGTCACTTGAAAATTGAGGATTCAGCTCTAACATGTCTCTGTGGGCAATTAAGGCAAAATTTAACTACGCATTCTAAATGTAAAAGTCGAACTGAATAAAAATAATTAGCAAAAATTATATTATGCTTCTTATATATTCAAATCTTAATATATCAATACTATTTAAAAAACACACTTACGGTTAAGTAAATGGTAAAAGTAATATAAAATATAATAGTTAAAATCTTATGCAAGGTTAGAAAAATAATAACTTAAATTTCAGTCATTGTGGAATGCGTAAAAGAAATAGATCTATATTATAGTAAAGAGGTTGCATGAGTATAAATATAAAAATTCTTAAAATTGAAGTTTAATAAACACTTTTTTGCATGCAACAAATTCTTGAAAGCAAATAAAAGTCAAATATTTATAGGGAGAGGGCACAACTTAGGAAAGTTACAAATTTATTTCTAAAACAAATTTCTTATGTTGTGTCCTGCCCTAGCTAGATTTTTGTGGATAAAATCTAAATTTCACATTTACATTTATAAGCATGTGAATTATATAAAATGGTGTCCTTTTTTAAATTAACCACAAATATAGTTTCATTGAAAAAGTGAAAATAAAGCTTTGCTATCATTTGTAAGCTAAAGCAATAATGAATAAACAACTTATAAATTAAATTATTTTTGCCTGATATATCTCTTTAAAAACTTACTGAAAGTTTCACACTTAATTCTTCCACTTTTCTTAAGTTAACTACGTAAGTAAGATACTTTATACAGGCCAAAACAATGTAGATAGCAAAACATGTTTAAACTTTATGGGAAAAATTCAATGTGAAATAAATAGGAGATTCAATAGTGAGAAATTTGGTTTTTCAAACTTTTATGTGGTTAATAAAAGTGAAGAAAACCACACTTTACTTTGAGAAAGAGATTCAAAAGTAAGGTATATAATATGAATTACCAGCATTTGCCATGGTTATTCTCAGTATTTCAACACTGTAATTTATGAAGCTTAATTTTTCACAGTAATATGTCAAATAAAATTATTATTTCTACTAATACTATTGACAAAATATATAAAAAAATTTCACATCGACCAAATGCCTATAATTTTTAAATATATATTAAAAAAACACAATAAACAAAAATAAATAACAAATACTGATTCAACTTAACAGAAGTAAATGCATATTCCCATAGCCCAAAGGAAAATAGTGAATAACAAAAAAATCCCAACAAAAAAAATATGCTAAGTCACATCAATTTAAAATAAGAATTAGAGCTACTGAAAGACATAATTTACTTTTAAGACAAATCAGTGAACCAAATGAGCAATCAGCTAACCCAAGAAAATGATCTTAATATTTTTTCATTTAACTCTAAAATTAAATTGTGAGTCACAGATGAACAATGTTTTAATGAATGAACATATTTTCTGTTTTAAAACATGCAAAAACGGCAGTTTGATTGATGACTAAGAATAAATGGTTTGTTTAACTAAGTGGAAGACAATATGAATGAATAAGCAAATCTTAATTTCCTTATTTAATCAATGAAAAAATTACTCAGAATGAAATGCAAATTATTTCCTTGTCGACTACTTGGAATGCTTATCACAGATTCCAAAGCCAGGTACAACACTTTTCAACATATATATTACACTTAAGTCTTAAAAATCAGATCTCTCAAGCTCAAATAAAAAATAAATGTATATATTAAAGCTTGTTTTAAAACAAATATAGCTTTAAAGCAATACAGTTCTTACATTAATAAACCCATGAAATTGGAACCCATTGTGGCTCACTTGATAATGCATCAATAGCATCTTTTAGCTGCTCATATGTTTTCTCAAAGTTTGTGTTCATTAGAACTAAATCAAAATATTTGTCAAAAGCCCTTTGCAATCTTGCACTTTCTTCAACTGTATTTCTTAAATCTTCCTCCTAGAAAAAATATATGCTGATAGAATGATACCAAATAAATATTTACATTTTAAGAACAAGATCAAGAATTTTAGCATATTTTTAAAGTAATTTTATTTTTTGATGAACAAAAAAACTAACAATATCTGTTATCTTGCTTTTAAAGGGAAAAAAAAATCAAAATATGGAGACTCAAAAAATTTTCAAGTATCTAAACCTGAGAATATTTTATTTTTCCCAGTTGAATAGCTATTTAACTATGGAAGATACTTTCTATAATCTTGGAATATCATTAAGAAAATTTCTTATTTAGCAAAGCAAGACTTAACTTTAAATAAGATATATATTACTTAGAAAAAAGAAAATTTCAGTGAACTAAATAAGCTGTACATTATTAACTTAAAATGGCAAAGCAAAGAAAAAATGTACTTAAAAATATTATTAAACAACTAAAAATATCTCACCTCATACAAAGATGCTAAACTTTCCATAGTTCGAGCACGCCTTGAACCATGCCTACCCATAGCCCGATCAAACTATAGGGGAAAAAAAAAAGAAAGTAAAAGACATGATAACTAGGTTCACAAATACATCTGTACATAAATTTGATATAGAGTTCGATTGCAAATGACCCTTGAAATGGAAACTTAATAATATGCATACAAAAGTGAGAAATACTTTAAAATATTTAATGAAGTATACTAATTGTTTGCTGACATATCGTAGAGATAAGTACTAATAAGAGCAGTAAGAAAATCAAAACTACATTAAAGTCTTACAAATGATAATATCCCAAGCAATTTAACACATTGATTCAACATTGCTTAAGAGTTTCTATTGAGGTATGTTCTTGAAATATAAATTAAAAAGAAACATTTAAAGATGTTGAAATTTGAATTAAAAAGAAACATGTTAATACCACATTTTAAAAAGGTTGAGAATGGTTATCAAAGAAAAGTGACTTATGCCTTTATTGTTGAATTTAGTCTAACTTAACTTTTGTTCTATTATAGTTTCTATTCTATTAGAAGACTTCCATAGGAATTACATTTGCTGAAGCTTTTGATTATAAATGCCTACTGTTTCAAAATTTTATAAATATCCAATTTATTTTAAGGAAAAATGCACAACATAATTTGAAGATAAAATAATTACAGAAAGACAATGTTTTTGTATACTTGAAACTAAAAAAAGCAAATTTTAAAACTGTAAGATTAATCTTACATAATTATTATTTCTCTGAAAGAAATTAGAGCAATTTCAAAAGAAGTTAGAAATGTGCTTAGTGCTTTCATCTAAAGATATCAACAGAAAGAAAATTCATAAATGACACGCTAATGAAGAGATGCCAACTTTCTCCGCTTTGTGAGAAAGTTTTTTTAGAGGTAAAAAAACTTAACGTTTAAGGAAATAATTTCTATTTTAAAGCTGTTTTTTTCACCACTACATGCAATTCAAGAGTTCAAATAAAACAATACTTAGTTTCAATTCTTTTGAGATGAGCCTTTTAAAATGAAACTAACCAAATTTGAGTTTTTAATTCTCTACAAGTTAAAATCTTGACACTTTGCAGTCCTTGGAATAACCCTTTTAACATTTATCTCTTTTAGCATTTATGTTGAGCAAAGATAAGGTTTAACATTTAGTTAAACATTTCTAACTTTAATGCTGTAAATGATTAGCTTAAGATAATTAGCAAAATATTAAAATATAGAAAAAAAAACTAGCAAACCTTTTGCATAGTTTCATATAGTTTCATGCGAGAAAAACAGCGAATTAAAATAAACAGATTTACTTGTAACTTTCTGTTGTCCTATCAGCTGTTATAAGTAGGAAAAAAACTTCTTGAAACACAGAGATAAGGCTTGTTTAGACAATCCAAGTTCATTGACATAGAGTGATTGAAATCGATGAAACGTTTCTTGCTTTGAGTTTGGATTGTGTAAACAATCATCAAAGTACTTGGTCCAAAACCTTGGATGACAGTAGAGCATGTTCTACTTTCCATCCACAAGTTTTTCCTCCCTTAACCAAACAGCGTTAGGTTCAACAGCGTAGGTTTTATGACGTCAACAAACAGGCATCAGATTATGTCAATTTGTAGTCTGTTTTCATATATTGATCTGTTACGGTCTATTTGTGTATTTTGATTTTATTTGCACAATGCACATGTGGTAGTTTTTCTTCCGACCAATCAGTGACATTCAAGAACTTGGATAGTGTCGACGAGTCATCCAATTTCTTGGAAAGAGAAATTCCCCCAATTTCTCAGATTCAAGAACTTGCACTGTGTAAACAAGCCTATACTCTCTATTAGCTTTTAATGTATGTTTTTTTTTACTAAACATGTCAAAAAGCGTTTTTATTCTTGGTTTCCCCTGCATTATTAAAAAAAAGAAAAACAGTATTCTAAAAAAAAAATTTAGTACAGATGTGCTTTAGCAACAAAATGCTCAAAGAGTTAGACAAGAGCTATATTGCAAGCAAAATCTGCAATATTTCAGTAAATTTCCTATTATTAATGTGGTTGAAAACTAAGCAGATCCCCCCTCCCAAATTATTTAGTTTTTAACAATATCTTTTCAGTTATAAACTTTATTAAAGTGCTACAATCAAAAGAAAATTTTTAAAATATTTCACATCTTTAATCAAATATATTATCTTAAATTATTATTTCCTTATTTGTCATATCTGCGAACATGATGGAAATTCATCATTTCACAGTTAATCACCAGTAGCCAAATGAAGAAAATTCATCATTTGTAGGGTGTTAATATGAAAATTTAAGAATATTTTGAATAACCAAATTCACACTGTACTTAATTATTGTTCTTTAAATAATTTTAAAGAACAAGGTACATTTGTTAATGCACTAGAAAATCTTGAAAAGCGAGGACATTTTATTACATTTTATAGAATTTTGGGTAATATAGGTCATTTTACATATTTTTAAACTAACTTACTAAACATGGCAGCCATATAAATCTGGAACAAATGCTTTAGAATAATTTTTAGATACAAATACTTAAAAACGCAAAAATATGCCATTGATTAATTATTTGCAGAAAAAAAAATCATTTTATTTTTTAGAGAATTAAAAATAATAACAAAAAAATTTATTTACGTTGGTTTTTGCTTCAGAAATTGTAACCTCTTAACAAATAATATAAAAAGTTAATTGTTTTTACTTCGTTACAAAAATTTCTATTATTTACATCTGTTAAATTTAATGCGGTTTACAGAGAATTGTGATTCTCAGAATTGCATTATATAGATCTTGTGCTACGATACAAAACAGATAAATGAAACAAACTTGAATAAAAACAGAAGCCTTGAAACAAAAATAAGACATTTCTGATAAATTAGTTTATTTTTTAATTTATGAAAGTATGAGCTTGTAAAACTAGTGAGAAGGAAATATTTGCTTTCGATTTTTTCCCTGACATTCCTATGTATTTAATATACATAAATGCTAAGCAATGAAACTTTTAAGCAAATCGAAAAATTAATTAAAAGATTATATATCATTTATTTACAACATGTAATACTTAAAGTTGACATGAAGTAAAAGTATACCCTAAGTTTTATATTTAAGGACAATTTATCAAAATATATAAAAGAACACTGAAATTAGAACTGTTGCAGAAATAAAATTAGAATTCAAGGTGTACATGATTTGTGTGCATTTTTGTACTCACAGTTAAATTTCTACTGCTGTAATTATGAGGTCTAGCGAATTCATGCATATTTTTTAATTGGTCCACAGCAGGAGCAGCAATAAAAACAACATATGGCATGAATTCTGATGTCTTGAGAATCTTCAGAGCCTGAAAGTAAACAAAATAATTTTTCCTTACCACATTCACAATATCATTAAAAAAATAGCACAACTATTAAAATTAATTGTATGACATTTACTTTCACATTACTTACAAAAAGTTAAGATTATGTAAAAGTTAAGATTTACTTACAAATAGAAATTTCAATCGTCCATTTTAAATATCAATACAAATTAACTAACAACAAAATCATTTGAGAATAGAATTATAAAGAAATATTTTAATAGATATTCATAAACATATTTTTTATTAAACAATAAGTATTATTTATATTTGAACAAACAAATGCTGAAAAGAGTTCATTTTCTTAACTAGTGATTACAAAAAAAAGCAAATAAATTTTACAACACAGCATAAAATAATGTAGAAATGAGGATACAGTATATTTGATCAAAATTAATCCTGAACATTACATGCAACATTGATTTTAATTAACCACTAGTATTATATTAGTGATAAATCTTTATGTAACAAATAAAAAAAATAATGTATTTAAAATGCTAAAAGAATTAGATAAAACAACCAGAAGTTAGTAAGAAAATAAGAATAAAATATATAATAAATTGTGTATTTTAAGCCATTATAATACTCACCTGTGGATTACAATCTAATATGCACATTTTTCCTGAACGAATAATAGCTCTCACTGATTCAAGCTTTGTTCCATATAAATGCCCATTGTGTTCGCCATACTCCAAATACTTATTTTCAGCTATATCAGCTTCCATAGCTTCACGTGTAACAAAGAAATAATTTTTACCATCTTGCTCTGTCTCTCTAATTGGTCGTGAAGTATCTGAAAACCAACAGTTAGCTGAAATATTTTTAGTGGTACTAGTATAATATATTTCTTTTAAATTGTGCTATTGGAAAGAAATATATGAATTTGAGATAATTAATAGTTTAAATTAAATTAATTAAAATAGTAAAGTGCCAGAGAGAGGAAAAACAGAGTAAATATTTTTTTCAGCAGTAAATCTGATTCTGAAATGTAAAATATTGTAGTTATACTTTTTTTTTCCTATTAAGATGCGTTCATTAAAGAAAAATGTTTTTTTTGCTCCATATAAGCAATTTCAAATATCATTAAAGAAACAATAACTGAATTCAACATTAAATTGTTCCATAATTGATATTCCAAGCTTTGTTTTAACTTTCAACTAAAAACCAACAAAGAGAAACTGACCACATTTAATAAGGAACATTTAGATTTTTAAAACTATGGTACAGACCTCAAAGCATTCAATTAACTTGAAAAAAAAGAAAAATAAAAGAACACTTTCCATGAATTATAATTAAAATAATGGAATGTAAAAAATTATTTCATATCTAACTCACAGAAAAACATTAACATGATACATAAAATTTCAGATTTCAGTTACAAATAAAAATATGACATTGGTCACAAAGTAGTTAAAGTGTGCTATGTTACATGATCAAATTTTAGATAATATTTGAAGTTTTAGATAGGTACAAAAAAAGTTTTGAAATTGTAGTAACATAATTTTGAAAGTATGATATGCAACATATTAAAATGTGAACAAAATTTCTTATAACGCTGTTGTTTATGTACCTAGAAAAACTGGTATAAAAAGCATTTAACTTTTAAACATCTAAATAGTTACGTGACATCTAAATAGCTTTTACTTTTTTCAACTAAAAACCGTCGACCACTTCTTACACTTTTGTAGACAAGAAACAGTTCTAAATATGTGCTATAAAAGTAAGGCCTTCTTGCAACAGCTCATTGAGAGCCAGGGGGATTATGGAGATTAAGGCTCCTTAATTTTGCGAACAATGCTATGACTGTGGCAATATGGTCAGCATTGCAGCCGTTATCGATCTATCTGAAGTTGGGTGGTCTTCAAGCTGCCATTGTGGATTGAACCCCAGTTCTTCACAGTGACAGTTCATTCTCTTACGCACTAAGCCATAGCGGCTCGAATATATGTGATAACTGTTACTAAATTTTGGTAGTTAGAGATATTTTACTCCTGAAAACAAAGTTGTTTTCTTCATATACACAACAGCCATTATGATTCAATTTTCAAAATTTCTAGAATCCTAATAACTTAAAATCATATTTTTTCCTGTTTTAATTTTAATAAATGCCTTCAAAACGAGGCAATTATTCACAAATCAAATTATTAATTTATAATTGTTTTTTTTTAAAAAAGCTATCATTACATACGGGCAACTGGAGAAGCAAATTTATCAGGATCTTCTTTTATTAATCTATTTTTCATTGTTCTTCGACCAACACTCTGAGCACCTAACAGAATTAGAGTCTTCCTTTCAAATGGTGGCATTCGAGCAACTTCTTCATACAGAAGTAATTCAGCCTTGTCAAATTCTAAGACAAAATAAATGTGTTAATGATTAATATTCAAATGACAGCACATTGATACTTAAAGAAATTTTTCATCTTAAATTTATTACTAACTGCAAAACATGAAATCCCAATATCATATATGCTATACTGCTAAAAATGCAGCTACATTTTTGACTTATTAAAAACATGCGAAACTCTATTTTTATTTTGCACTAAATTGGTTTTTAATTTGACATTTATAAGCAAAAATATAATGAAATTAATTTTTACTCTGTGAAACGCTGTAGAAAAAAAAAGGTAAGCGTTTTAAATAAAAAATACAGGTAAATTTATTTTTGGATATGGTTTTTCACCACAAATTATAACCAGGAAACTAATTAGCATTGTTAAGTAAGTAAGTCACTTAATTTGTAAACATATCATTATATTTAAGATGTGCATAAAATTTTTTGTAGCAAGTTGTTTAATATCAAACTTTATTGTTACGATTCAAGTGTTTATTAGTAAAGGATTACCATGGATACTTGAAGGGTTTTTGATTAAATGTCTATAGCTCCATTTTAAAGTTTGAAAATTTCAGAAATTGTCTTCTTCTCTATATTCATAAATAAAAGAACCTGGCATTTTTTTAAGAGAAATCAAAAAAAAAAATTTCCATCCATAACTTACTTTGATAGTGGCTATAAAAGAGCCCTGATTTTATTGAACCCATATGGGTAAATTAATGGGGAAATGAGATATATATAGTAAATAGTAATAGTGTTTGCAGTGAACAACTGAAACTATTTGAAATACGCAACTTCCAACATTAACACATTTTATTTCGAAATGCTAATAACTACCTTTGTTTCAAATATGCAAGATAAATTTTTATGCTTCACTATATGCATTAAGAATTTTACAGTATTATTATAAAAATACTTAATTTATCATTAAAAGAAGAGATTTTTTGACTTGCAACTTTTCAAACAATCATATAAAGTTTTAAAACTTTGCTACCTCACCATCATTAAAATTCAGAAAGGCTGAGTGGTTTTATTAAAAACCTTTAGAAGAGGCTAAATCTTTTCAAAGTATTTATCACAAAACTTTAGTCACATTTAATCAGAAAATAAAATTATGAATATAATTTGCAACTTACACATTTACAGACAATTTTATATATTTCAGTACAACTAATTAGATGTTTATGCCGAAAAACAGCTATTTCTGTGAAAAAAATGGTGACATGCAACTTTTTTAATTAAAAAAAATTGGACTACCAATAATTTTTTTTCTTCAAAAACGCAAAAAAAAAAAGAAAAAAATTCGAAACAGCTTTTGGCCATTTCAAAAAATAAATTTATTGCATATCTATTTATATAAAAACAATTCTTGATCTAGGATACAGTCATTGACATTTAAACGAAAACTGGTATTGTAAGGTGAGGTTTATACATGGAGAGTACAAGAAAGTAACATTAATTATTATTCACAACTATACAATACTGGAATAATTTTAACAAAACAATGCTACATTTAAAAAAGATATAAAGTAAAAGAATAAACTATAAAAATGCAACTTGTATTTTTGTGTTAATATAAACAAAAAAGTAAAATTCCAAATATTACATAACATATGAAGAAATACCCAGGTTCTGGGCAGTTATTTTCAATAAATAGCATAAGTGCAGGTGCAATCAAATAACTGCAAAGACTAAACAAAAACAAAATACAGCAAAATAGAAAGTGAATATCATGTTTTGACTCCAAATTATATCACTCAAGGAGACTAACATCTTGTAAAAGAAGGAAATAAAATTTCAAACACAGAAAGTATCATTAATAGACTTATTATACCCTTAATTTTGAATTTGTTTAATTGAAAAAGCATGCAAGCCCAATTTTCAGCATGACAATTGTATATATACTTTGATTTTTAATGTGGAGTTATCCATACCTTCTAAGCTTTTTTTTATCATAGATCTTGGCAACCTAAGAGTAGAATCGAGATTGCATCATTCTGCTTCCATTCAAAGAAAATTCAAGATGCTTTTAATATGATGTGTGATAACACCAAAAGTAAAAGAGGTTTAAATAATTTCTTTGAATCTTTTATTAAATCAAATGATTTACTGTTAATGGAAACATTTTGCTTTGAAAGCACAAAAATGCTTAATACTTATTTTTAAGTGATTTTCATGAGAATCAAAAAAAAAAATTAAACATTGGTCGCTATATTGTAGCGTAAGGTTCAATGTCAATGTTTTAACAGGACTTAGGGTACAGTGTAATATAATGAAAGAAAATGGGGGTCTTTCAAAATAGAGTGGCATGGCCATTTATTAGAGTGTATTTAAGTGAAATATGTTTTAAATTTTTAAAAAACAAACAAAATTATTTTTACCTGCATTTGCTCTACTTTGATATAAGACTTTTCTCTTTTTCTTCGTAATTTTAGTACCACACATAGCTGGAAATAAAAGAAATTTCAATGAATTTTAACATCAAATATTTAATTTTATTTTAAGAGTTAAGTATTCCCCACACTTAATGCTTTTGACAGAATATTAGGATGTATCAATATAATTAAGATGTATAAATTTGATGAAAAATAATCTGCTAAAAATTATTTTTTACATAATGTTATAATTAAAAGCAGTCCCTAACTTTGTATTTTCACACATTACTAAAATCCCTTAACTTCATATTACTATGACAGAGTTGCCACAGAAAAAAAATGAACAAAATAGTTGCTTTTAGAAGCCTAGAGCATGAAAATCGTTGCCAAAAACTATGAGAATAGTTGCCTAAATAAGAACCAAAATAAGACTAAAATTTTATTAAATGACATAATTGTCATACACCATGATCCATTTTGTCAAGTTGGTGGTAAATAAGATCAGTTTTTTATTAAACGTTAGNATGTTCTAGTACTAAATTTTTATATAAAAAAATTAGTATATTTGCAGAAAATTAAATATTTTTAATTACTAAAATTCATTCAAAAAATACTTTTTCATTAAAAAAGAACACATTTATTCGAAGAAATTTTCCCTTTTATCAATAATTAACTTAGCAAATATATATAGATAATATAAATTATTAATTAATTAAATTAATTAATTATAATTAATTATTTAATTATTAATTAAATATAAATTAATGCATTGTAATATCGTATTAAAAATTTTGTGTTTTAAAATCGTGCAGAATTTCGTTGCAAAAACTGTTGAAAAGGAGATCGAAAAACAAAATAGATTTACAAGAATCTGTGCAAATTGAAAGCATTAGAAAGTGATAACTCAAATTTGCAATCTAAAATATTTCATTTTTTGATGTTTAAATTATTTAATTTTTTTAAATTTTATTATTTTTATTTCACATTTTTTATTTTTTAAGAAAAGAAATTTAGGGCTGCAGGTTTTCAACCAAATTTATGCTAAAAAACATTGCTAAAGTACAGAAAAGTCTCCTAATAGTCTCCTTTTTCTGAAAATAGTTGCTTTTTTAGCCTTTTCAGGCAAAAAAAGTTGCCATAGTCGCCTCATGCTGAAAATAGTTGCATTTTAGTCGTCTGTGGCAACCCTGCTATGAGATTTTACTTCCCAGCTGCAGGGCAAGACTTCTTTCTCTTGAGACCTGGCTAAATAGTGAGAACCACTGCATCAATTAAATTTCCAGATAAAAAGAAGCTTAAAATATTTTTTAAATATATCAGTAAATGAATGAATGATAAAAAAGTTAATATTTGTAAAAAAATATTTAAGAATATTAACCTTTTTTTTAATTATCCCATTCTAGCAAAATTTTACCTTATCTAAATTCCTATATGGAACTATGTAAATTTACAATAGAATATAAGAGAAATATACTAAAAATCTAAACAAATTACTTACTGCTTTTAGTTGCATGATCATATTCTGGTCGGACAAAAGCATGCCGGCGTTCCTCAAGCTCTTGTGAAGGAATTAAGCCAGCAGGACCCATAGCATCTAATCTTCTAGCCTACATATAAAACAATTATTTTTAAAATTAAGGTTAAAATAATAAAAGTAGATTCAAAAGTGCACTCCAAAGTATGAATGGAATTTTTCAAATTAAAATTTACCTGCCACCAGTTAGGATCGTCTTGGCTTAAAACTTGCAAAACATCGCCTTGCTTGAATGATAATCCAATTTCTTTGCAAGGCAGAAGAGAATCTTTGGACGGATCATATGCATACAAAGCTTTCACAAATGTCTAAAAATAAATTAAACAATAAAGTCAAAACTGTTTATTGTTGTAATTTACGTGTTTCAAATCAGATTCAAAAAATAACATATAATCAAAACATTTACTTTGTTTTAATCTTATTTCAAAATAGACCACTAAATATTTCAATTGAATACTATATACTTTGATATAAATTCTATACAAAGCTACTGTCAGTACACTTCAACAATTTATAAAAACTAAAACTATCAGCAACTATTTTCTTTTGAATTATATGTTTGAAAAGATACCGTACAAAAAAAAAGCAATAATTTTCATAAAATCTGAAATTTTCTGGAACAAAGTCACTTATCCAGATTCCTGTTTACTGGAAAGGTCTTTTTTTGATCGATTTTAATTCAATTTCAGCAACAATATGAAAAAAAAATTGGGTATCACGAAAACAAAATTCGCCATTTAATTACAGTACCAAAAAAATTTTTACCCCTCAAGTCTCACAAGCAAGGATTATTACCGCCAAAAATCACAAAATTTCAGAGTGGTCAAAAATTTTCCATTCTAAATGATTATTCATAAGTGTGATTCCGAATTGTATTAATATTATATTAAAAATGCAACCGAGAAAATCGTGTGGACAATAAAATTTACAAAAATCATGTATGTGCATCGAAAAGTAATTCTACAATACTCTATTTGAAGTTAGCTGAACGAATGTATTAAAACATTGAGATTTTAAAGTAAAAAGATTTTAAACTAAGTAAAAATCCGTTTTAATAAATACCAAAAAATAATCCTCTCCTTAAAACCATGTGGATTAAGCATAAAAAAAGCATGTCTAACAATTGTAAATAAAATATTTTAAAGCACTAAACTTGTCTCTAAAGTGCAAGATTTAAATAAATTCAAGCTTAATCTTTTATCAACAGAGGGAACAAAAAACTTTATTTAAGTAAATTAGTTCATAATAAAATATAATGCAGATAATGGTTTTATTGTGAACGTTACCTGAGCTGGAGCAATGAGATCGGTATTGGATGGACGAATTTTAAATGTTACACTTCCAAGAGATTTTTGAAGTTGTTGTTGTAAATCCATAGGGGTGTGTACTTCAACAGAATTTACTTCTAGAATGGTATCTCCAACATTTAGCAAACCTGCTCATAAAAAATAATTAAGAAACTACCATTAGTTAATAATATTAGTTCATTATTTGTTAGAAATACTTAGTAAATCTATATGCTAAGATGAAGAAAAAAAAAGTTTAATTGAAGTTACAAAATCAAAGAAACTTTATTTGTAGCCCTTTATTCCCAACAATATTTACATCAATAAGTTCAAAAGTAAAAGCTACTGATTTTTAAAAAAATATATATTGTTATCCTATCGAAAACGTAAATAAATTTTTCTTACCTTGTCGATCAATTATTCCACCAGCAAGAATTCTAGCTATGACAAGATTATCTTCTTCCTTTCGAACAGTAATGCCCTAAAACAGTAAATAAAAGTTTAGTGAACAAAATTTATTGTTTAATCAATTACAACAACAATAAAAAAAATATTTTCTTTTTATGCATGTAAGACAAATTTTAAAAAACGCAAATTGAAATATGGGTAGAAAAAATTTTAAATCAATTTTTAAAAATCAAATATGGGTCTAATTAGTCAAACACTTTAATAAGGCATACAAGTTACAACTATGTTATTTTTTTTTAATCAGAAATTAAATTATACACTTTTAGAAGCATTAACACTTGCCAGTGGTTCTTCATCGGTTTTTCTTATTCCAACCATTCGAACAGCTTCAGTAGCCGGACCATTGTTCACTCGGAGAAGAGGTGAAGTGGATATAACAGGTGAAGATTCGGGAGAATCATACCTTTTACTTGCAACAATATCATGAGCTTCAATCATGGCCTAAAAGTAGGAAAACTCTAACCTTAAAAACTAAATATTTCTTAAGAGGTACAACTACAGAATCATAAGAAATTTAGAAAACATAGTATAAAATTTTTACCATTAAAATCAAGAAATTTTTTTTTTTTATTTTTCTTTAAAAAAATATAAATTTTGGATACATTAAATTTAAATGTTATTAAACAGTATAAAGTTTTAAGAAAAATAAATGTTTAATAAAATTAAGTATAATTAAACTTTGTAGAGCCATTTGTAAATTCAGATATGTTACAATTGTGATTTTTCACACTATGCATTTGCAATCTATTTGTAGAGGCTCAGAGAGCCAGTGAAAAACTTGATACAAAAAATATCTTGGAACAAAAAATAATAAACAGCAACTTCGCAAGTGCAACATGAATAGTGCTTAAAAAAAAAAAAAAAAAAAAAAAAAAAAAAAGAAAGCTATGATGGCTAACTTTTGTTTTATCAATGAAATTTTCATGTACTAAGTGCTTTATCTTAATAATTTCAAATGTTGAGCTTAAATATGGTAATTAGTTTATGTTGACAATTAATAAAGTTAAGGAATGAGTCACAAAAGCTAAGTTTTTCTGGATAAACATACTTTTGTTCTGACGATTAATCATGGGGGTAGCCACAATCTGAAAAATTTGACAATAGTTTCAGGAGGAGAGCAATTGAAAGTTTGAGACCCCTAATAATAATAATTTCCTATTTTGCATGTTACCAAATCTCGGAAACTTTCAAAGTGAATAGAAAAACTCTGTCACATTATAATTAAACTTCTTTACCCAAATATAGTTTCATGCTTATTGATAATACTGCTCTATTGTTAATAAATTACGGTTTAGCAATGGTGCAGCACATTCAAAATTGCATACTTCAAAAATGACCAATACGACATAACCTTTATAGTAATAATCAAAATTAAAAAATATTATTTGTTTCATATTTCTTATTATAGCTCAGAATTTCAAAAATTTGGTTACTCAAGTTATTTTATAAAAAAATTATGAATTATTTCCCAATTACTTGAAAATAAGAATGTCAAATTAAAAATGTTGGAATTAAAAATTTGGCTAGAAAACTTTTGAAATAAAAATAGAGTGCAAAATTTTTATCTTTATTCTCCATTATTTTTTAAATAACTGTACTAAACAATTTTTAAAAAAGGTTTGATTAAATTTTGTCAAGAAGTTAGCAATCTATAAAGTATTTGTTTAAAATTTTTAAAGATTTTTTAAATTATTTGAAATTTATATTAATTATACTAGACCTTATAACTGTAGTATAAATAACCAGACAAGAGCAATTTTGGAATAAGATCAAATATAATTAACAATATCATCTAAATTTAAAATACATATATATAACTATTTTTTCCACTTAAATTAGAAATCCATGAAAACAAATACAAATATGAGAGGATGAACTTACTTCAAAATGAGGATTATCTAATAATTTGATTAATTCTTGTGAATCTTTGCCTGTTAGATTACAACAAACTTTCTTAACGTCTTTTAACAATTTATAGTTTCCAACACTAACAGGTTGAACTGATTCACAGCTATCTTCTAACTGATCCTGAACCTTAAAAAAAGGTGAGAATTGAATAAAATGATTACAATAAATAAATTATAGCCTGCCAAGTTTTTTTTAAACATTTCTAATAACCATTTAACATAATTAAAAATCTGTATATGCCAGAAAATTTTTAGAAGTTAGGATCTCTGTTAACCTGAGCCAGACATGGATAAAAATAAATGATCTTTCCCACGCTTTCCGCAGATTTTAAATATGCTTATACATTACAACTTCATTAACATACAAACAAAAATTTAATGTCTAAATGTGGTAGTAATAAAATATATAAAACAAAAGCCACTCTCACTTGTTAGCACATACGAAAATTTAACTTCAACAATATACAATTAATAGTATCAGTATCAATATATTTCAATAAAAAAAAAACAAAAAAAAAAGTTTCTTTTTTGATTTATTGAATTAATGCAAATTTAAAAATAAAGGAACATGAAATGCACAATCTATAGTAAAGGTAAAACACTTCTTCAACTTAAATATTTTAAAATGCTGAGGATGATGAATAAATAACGAAAAGGAGTTAGTAAATCACAAACTGTCTGTTTAAATCTATACTTAAATAACAGTATGTTTTATCACAAAAGTATGTTTCAGCACTAATTATTTAAAAATAGGGAATTAAAATATATATTTGGCATTTACTTTAACATTATCTAGTATTTAATGAAATAAACATTGAAGATATTTCCAATGAATTTTAAATACTTTTGTGATAATATATTGTTATAAAATAAAAAATGCAATTAAAAATATTGCTGATAATATTAAAAAATAATGAATAAAAATGTACTATAGGTAATATACATAACAATATAAATCTGTTAACATTAGTGACTTTAAAGGTGTGAAAATTAAAATGAAAAATTTTCAAGCATTTATTTTTGCAAGAAATGAAACGATGTAAAATAGTTATTACTTAAATAAAATTTTAATATTTTTAATTCAAATATTTTTTAGAATCAGGGTGGGAAAAGCTGAAATTTACAATTAAAACATTTACTGTATCAAGGATAATGTATAATTAACAAAAATGAGAAGACTTCTGATTCTAAGAACTAAAGAATTTCACTAGTACAATATTTACAAAACTATTTGACTTAACCATAAATTTACTCATATTAATTTATTTCATCTATTTATTTTGGCGCATAATGTTTAAATGCATTAATGTTACTGTTAAGAATTATATTATTTATGTTGCATATATTATGTTTTCATGCATGTCAGGTATAGTAGTGGACCTAAGAAAAAAATCAGGACAATAATTTCCAAAAAAAAAAAAAAATCAGGAAATTTTTTAAAGCTTTATATATATATCAGACAAAAAAAGCGAACAGAAAAATAAAAAATGCGAATGAATAATTGCTACAAAAGTTTATCCTACAAGATGTTACTTCATGCTTAAAATAATAAATTATTGAATGACCCCTTAATTTATCCCCATAAAAGTTTGATTATATAAAACTATTGAGTGCCAATTTCATAGAATAACTGAATCGCCAAAAATGTTTGAAAAATCAATCCTGTGGGTAAGACGATATGCCTAGGCCTTGTATATAATTTGTAGACGGTCCCTTAATTAGAACTATCGAATTCTGCGACTTGTACTACTAGTATTATTAATTAGAATGAAAAGATTTTGGATCGAAAATCTAAGTTTTTCAAACCTACTTTTTACAAATAAGATGATCTGAACTCGTACTAAAATCAGGACAAAAAGCTAAAAATCAGAACAAATATGGATAAAATTTTTTTTTAAAGGAAAGTAACGAATACCAGGACAACTCTGAACCCTGTACTGTATTTCTTAATGAAAAACAAATTATGATTGCTCATGTAAATTGATATCAATATGTTACTTATTAACAATTTTATTTACTAACTCTCTCTTCATTTGAGTATTAATAACATAAATATAATAGATGGCTCCGGAACAAAAATAATTTAAATACGGTTATTTACCTTTACTAATGAACTGACAACAGGAGATTCCATTAATCCTTTCAAAAATATAATATCAGTATCCCTGGCCCCAACCCTTCCATTGAGATCTTCAATATTTTCTCTGACATGCTGGAAAGCAGCTAAAATAATAAAAGTAAAACAATTTGAATAAATCTAAAAAGAATTATATGCATTTTTAACGAGAAGGAAAAAAAAACAAATATTGCAATAACAAATCGAACAGTGCTAGGAAAACCATCCTGTAATAATGCTTTTCTGTAACAATGCTATTACTTTGTGATACTGAATTTGAAAATGAAATCACTTAATTGGCATTTCATATGTTTTTCTTCAAACATTCAAATACGCTTCTTTCAATATTATTGCATTAAAAAAAAATTTTAAAAAACTGAAGACTTAACACATGATTCTTATCTATATCAATTTCATTTTAGTTCACCACAAATGTAAACGTCATATTTTAAAACCTAAAAGTAACATTCTGGTCATCTATTAATATTGTGTAACCAAAGGTGTAGTGAGACATGTATGTGCCAGTATGACATTTTTGATAGCTGGGAACTTTAATTTTAGTATTATTCCAAGGAACAATATTAAGATAATTAGAATAATTAAGTATATATAAATATAATATTTTTCTTATTCAATTATAATTATAAAAAAAATTAAAATACATGTTTATAAAATAAAATAAAAAAATTTATGCTATTAATATCATATATTTTTATTTCAAACTGCAGTCATTTGCAGTAACAGATGTAGTTTATGTATGCATGTAGTTTATGATGATACCACTCAAGGTAACTAAACATTTGTCAAATATAGTTTGTATAAGCTAAGAATTTATCCCGCCGCAAAGTCTGAGGCTGTCTGGTGGTATGGAAACAAGAATGGCGCATTTTAGGGAGAGTAGCTTCTAGGATTTAACACAATAGACCGGAAAAAAGAGATTCCCTTTCTCTCGCCGAAACTACTCCAAAACAGCGACCTTGCACCCATGCTCATTATAGACTTCAGTCTTTTGATAGTTAGGATGTTACCATAACAACTTTAACATCTCATAGATGTTAAAGTTAAATTTTATCTCTTTTCTATATTTCAATGTAAATTAAAGAGTTTTTTTCCCTTAAACTATGCTAATTAGTTAAAGTATAAATGAGGTAAATTAAAAAAATAATAATAAACATAGTTTAAATTCCTACTAAACGAATCTGTAAGGCTACAGAGTAACACGGATGTTTGATTATTATTCAGATTTAGGGTTTGTTAAACAGCAATAATCTGAGCATTAATGAGAAGAACTTAATGAAAGAACATGTAAAAAAATATTTTAGTTTACTATTTGCAAAAATCAGCTTTAAAATGTTTAGAAACTTCATAAAACTATCAACTAATCATATTTTTCTGAAGAAAAATAATTTACAAGTTTAGTTGTGAGTGTGTTAAAATAGCAAGAATCTAATAACATGTAAATTTAGAGAATAGGAGAAAAAACAATGATTAGGGCTAATTTTCATAAATTCCCGATTCTAATTCCCTAATTTTATAAATTATCATGTTTCTCTTAAAGTCACAGGAGTTAGATCTTTCTAATCAATTATCTGCAACTGCCTAAGGGCAAAAAATTAATGATGGTCAGGGATTAGTAAAATCCAACTCGGACCACCGGGTATTAGCAATAAGTGGTCCTCCAGTTCAGCAACTGATAATCTTCAATTGAGTATAAAAGAATGAAAATGCTTGTTTGATTTTTGTTTTATATTTCTATTACAAAATAGCAGTCCTAACAATAACTGAGAACATAACACATTCTCTGTAATTATTCATCTAATTGTCACTTTTCTTTATTTTTAACAATTAATATTTGTTGTAGTTCATTTACGTTGCACTAGAGCTGCACAGTGGGCTATTGGCAATGGTCTTTAAAACATCCCTTAGGAAGATCTGAAGACACGCCATCACAATTTTGATCCTCTGCAGAGGGGATGGCACCAGTGCCGTTCCTGGGGTGGCGAACGCCTGCGTGCAAGAATAATTTTGTGCGCCCCTATATACTATGCTTAAATTTTGATGATAAGGCCAATTTTCATAATCATTTTTAGTTTGAGGTTTAAACTGAATAGTTTCCTTATAGACTAAAGTCACTTTAGTGTAAGTGTTTGATTATGAAAATGGGCGTAATAAAATAAAACAACGAAAAAATATGACAAAAAATTTATTTTCGACATCAAATAAAATAGACTATTAACGTACAATATAGGTCATAAATAAAACACGTCCATTCGGAAATTAACAAAAAATCTAATATAACTCAATTCACTCAACTGAGTGAATTGAGTTAAAACTCTCAAACGGCGCTCAACGGATTTTTGAAAGAATATTTTTAAACTGAGCATCACAGTTTTCCAATTACTTTAATGCGAAGAAAAAGAATAGTTAAATCCAAAACCTCTTAATTGCTGCGCCATAATTAAAACGTCTTCTTAAGCAAAAGATTTCAAAAGAAATTGTTCTTAGTTCTTAAAATATAACTTTTACGTTGAAAAGCAGTTTTATGATACCAATATTAATAACATACGTTTTCTTTCATCTTCTCTTACCTTAAGATTTAAAATCAGCAACACAACGGCAACACGTAATATTATATTCAAATGAAATTATTATTAATCGTCAAAATTCACCGACGAATACTCGATGACTGAACTGACTGACTGAAACAAGCCACATTTTCCTGTTTTATATCACCGCTAAAATCTGGTGGAAAAATCTGGATCCGAAAAAAAGTTTTTTTTGGAGAACTTTTCAGAAAATAATATTTTTTGCACCTTCGACTTCTCTGAGGCACACGCCGCGACCGATAAATGCATAAAAAACAATAACATGTATATTATTTGTCGAGCGAGTCGCCAAAGACGAGCGGCATCCTTTAAAGATACGCCGCCCGTAAGCCAAGTGCCGACAACAGATTTTTTGCATGTAAATTCCAGTGTAGAAGTTACTTCTTATATTAGTTTACTGTTTCTTCCTGTAATCAAAGTTTACAGCTTTGCTATTATTTGATTTTTAATAATTTGCTATAATTTGATTTTTTTCGAACAGTTGAATTTGGCGCCCCTTAAATTGGGCGCCTGCGTGCGGAGCATTCGCTGCATACCCGCCAGGAACGGCACTGGATGGCACCCCCGCTTTAGTAGCCTGACGACCTGCTCGCGAAGTCGAGCACTTTACGGTAGAACAGTTTAACAAGGTCCAATACCGCACACCCTGACCCTCGGTCCCGACATAGACTGACCCAAGCAGTCACCCACGCGCACACTCAATATATATGTTAATTTATTAATAAAAATTAGTAATTAATATGATTGCTTTGCTACTTTTAGTAAAGTAAAGAAAAAAATTCTTTTACAAATTGACAATGTTTTTTAATAGAACGTGTAAAGCCCATAGAAAGAAATTATTGCCTTTTTAGAATAATAATGCCCTTTTTTTTAAACTTTTGCACCCTGCCCTTTTTTCTGCCTAGAATGAGCTCTGATAATGATCTACTTATGGTAATTATATAAATTTGAATAATATAAAAAAATTTATTAAAAAAAAATTCTTAAAATACAATGATAAAATTTTGATATGTATGAAGCCTCAACAGTAATTTTTATTAGTTTACAACAATTTAAATATGATTAGTTAATTTCATATCATATATTTTTAGGTATTATTTATTTTTTAAAAAATTTAAGAAAAATATGCCAATGAACCTGTTAAAATATATATGGTTAGTGTAATCTTTTATTTACTGGTCCTTTAGACCAGTGACTGAATTTTCAAATTGACCAAAGCCCTTTTTCTAGAAGAAACCTTTTCTTTTAATGAACCAGAACCATTTTTAGAAACCAGAATTAAATTTTACCAGAATATAAAAAAAAATTTTACATTAACTCTTTTTTAAAAAAAAAAAAACTATTTTACCATAATTTATTTTAGTTTTATGTAGAATTTTATAATCTACAAATCATATTTAAGAGGCGTTTGAGTATTCATACTTTTCAGTATGCAAATAGAATATGTGTGATTTGTTAATTAAATAGTATTAATGAAATTTGATTATAATACTATAACGATTTTTATAATTATATATTAAGTTTTTACTGATCTCATTTACATAAAATATTTAAGAAGTGCAAATATTTTAATTCCTTAGGAAATTAATTATTCTTTCCAATTGTTAGATTTTAGTTTTCGTACATATTTATATTAAATAGTTTGAAAATTAAATACTATTATTTAAACTAGTCTGCAATTATGAATTATTTAAAAATCATATCTGATATTTCTTATTGAAAAAATATCTGCCACTTGGGCTAAAAGGTTATTTCCCTCAGGCTAGTTCTTTCTATGGGCACAATATATGTGCCCATCATGTGAACATAATTCTAGGGAAATGTTAGGTCTAATTAAGAAAAAAAAGGCAAGAATTTTTCATTGTAAAGAAATTTGTCCTCTTATAAAATTATCGTCTGAAACAAAAATGCAATGAAAAATTATCCCTGAAGAAAAAAAATCTTACAGATGAAAAAAGGCCATTTAAATATTAAAATCTAAATTTTCAAAGTTTATTTTAACACCAAAAACCCAGCCCTGTAGAAGCCAACTTTTTAACAGTAGAACATACTTCTAAGCGCTTTTTCAATACATAACAATTTATAACTTAAATTTTAAAAGTGATAAAAAATTACCTTAATAAAGAAAAATCTACAAACAAAGAATATTTGCATAATGTTCTTCAGAAAATTATACAGTAAGTAACCAGCTGAACAATTTTTTTATTAACTTAGCTTTAAAAAAAATCAATGACTTCTTTTTCAAACAATATTTTAATTAGTTTTTACATATTAAATAATTGAATTTTTTCCCTTTATTTATTTTATGGCATTTTAGGTTTTAAAAATACCAAGTACACAAAATAGCACACTTTCAATTAAGAATTAAAAAAAAACTATCATTAATATTGAAAAGCTTTAAAAAAACAGACATAAAGTTATGTATTTAAAAAACATAAAATATTGAGTCAAGTAAAAATAAAAGTTCATAAGAAATCAAAATGAATGATTATTAATAAATTCAATTTCTGAAATGAATATAAAAATGAAAAAAAAAAATTACGTACAATTTAAAAATTTAAGTCAAAAAGTGCTAGATATTACAAAATAATTTATTTAAAAAAAAAATACAGTTTAAAAAGTAGCATGAATAGAAAAAAAAAGCAAATAAAGACAAAATAAAACAAGCAATATCGCACTATGGAGAATACCCCTATGAGGTAGTAAATATCACGAAGGGTGTGGCGCGAAATGCAAAAAAAGGAAGTATTTCTCCGACGAAATAGTTAACTTTAAACACGACTTTTTCAAAAACATAAACACAGACATCAAGTAAAATACATTACTTTACACGACAATAAATTAGGAGTATTTTCATAAAGTGAAATTTCATTTAACTAATTTTTAAGTGTTGTCATTGTGAATTGAAAATTTTAAAATTCCTTAAAGTCAAACTTACTCCCTTGTTTTTGTTCATTAATTTTTTCCATGCTTCTCAACAATTGACGGCTATCATCATCTTGTTTACTTCCACATATTACCATGACGACGAATAACTAATAGTTAACGCCAACGTACTTCAAACAAACATAGCTGGATCACACATAAACAAAGGAGAGGCGAAATCGCATAGCAGTAAGAAATACGATCAATTGGTCGAAAGGAAATAGAAATAGCTATTTTTTGGCATCGATCAAACTTCCTATACAATAAAACACGATTGTCACTTAAAAATATTTACTATCAAACGATTAAACTCAAGGTATTCTTCGTGTGATGATGGAATCGGCGCTGTGGTAGGGTTGTTTTGAAAAACCACAGGAACGTATAAATCACCATAAAATCGCCAAACCTTGGATTGTTAGCGCGCGCCAAGCCAGGAGAAATGGTTGCAAACTTGTTCGCAGTCATTGCACTAAATGCGAAGTAACCACCGTGTTAGAGAAACATTTATTGAGTCAGTAGGGCGTAGGCGATAAATAATGCGTGAAGAATAAAACGAAATGATGTATTTTAGCTTCATTATATTTAAGGTTCATCTAAGCGAAACAAATAATTAATCAATTAGAAAAACAGCTAGAATAATTAAGATAATCTAATCACCGATGTGTTTATTAAAGAGAATCAAATTTGAAATTTTTACTTGTTTACTTTTATTATCTTAAAACGCGTCTTAACTATTTAAAATGAAACTTATGTAATTTTGATAGATCACGACCTTTGTTCACTAATTGTTTTTACATAGAAAGTAGCTTTTTTATAAATAAATATGTTGCAGCGACTTTCAAAAACATTCCTTTTTTTTTGTTCCTCCTGTATTATTCAAAATCTTAGTACACATTTTAACAAGCTTAGTTTCTTATTTATTTAAATTTCAGTTATGTATTTTTAACATTTTATTTATTTTTTTTAAACATTTACGGCCACTTTTTAAAAATAAGCATCTTAAATTACAAATTTCTAAGTAAAGTTAAATTTTTCCATTTCAAAACACCCACGTGTTGAGTGGCTGCTTTGAAATTCGAACCATTCAATAAATGTAAGGATTGTAACAAAAAAAAAAGTTATTAATTATAATTTTATAATTTTTTTTGGAAAAACGTTTTAAAACGTAAACGAGTTAGTAATTTAACATGGTTTGGAAAGGAGCAGTAAAACATCGAAAAAAAATTTCCCATTAAATTTTTAACTAAAATACCAGTAAAACACAATTACTGAATAGTTCAGGGTCAAAACCTCTGAAAACTAGTTTTACTTTTGCATAAGTAACTTTCCTCAGCAGAATCAATCAGCGATTAAAAATAAAAGAATGTTGTTGTAAACATTTTAACATTAATTAGTTTCTCCTTGTTCCTTTCTTTTTATTTTTTTTTTTTTAATTTTAAAACGTTAAATATTTTTATTTATTTATAGTTAATTTTTTGTCCAAATATTTCCTGAAATTCGAAGTCAAATTTTAAGATTTCTCGGGAAAAAAAAAAAAAAAAAATGCTATATTCTCTGTAGAAGTTAGTAAATCGCAGAAATTCGTTTTTATTTTTTTTTTGAAAAACAATTAAGAAGTTTCTCGCTAAAACGGATTTATAGATGATCATTTAATATGGGTTAGTTAGAGAGAAACAAGGCAACCATTAATAATTGTGTACTACTTATTTCTTAAATTAAGATATAGATGAAACTTGACAGTACGATTTAAAGCTAAATATAAAATTTACACACATTGTTTCAAGAATTTCAACTTTCACTCAAGCAATTTAAAAATATAATCTTCGATCAAATAATTCATATTGCAACTTGTGTTTGAACGAATTGAAGACAAATATAGGATTTTTTAAAAGCAATTACTTAAATAAATTGTGAAACATAATTACAAAGAAAGGGAGTCAAGGACATAACAAAACAAAAAAAAAACTATTTTTGAAGCAATTAAAAGGCATGAACATTAGAAATTATGTTCTAAAGTCTTATGAAGAAATTTGCTGATCATTCAAATTCATATTGATACAAATTAAAAAAGTAAAAATACAAGGAAAAATACAAGAAAAAAAAGATAAAGAAAATTAAGGTAAGAAGAAAGTAAAGAATTGCGATTTTTTTCAACATACTGAAACTATAACAGCCTATAAGCATTCTTTAATTTAAACGTTAATTGATAAAACTACCTATCATTTTTATACTTGTATCAATCATTTAATGAACAACTTAATACTTAATAGTAATCATAAAAGCATTTAATGTTAATTAAAAAAACACAATAGCTACTCTTAAATAAAATTTAAATTCTTTATTGAAGTTAAATATTTTTTCTAATGCTAATTAATTTGAAATAAGACTTAAATTTCAATAAAAAGTTGAATTTCTCTATAAATTCTGCAGCAGTTATTTCTCTAAAATGTGAGGGAATGCATGAATGAGAATACAAACTATAGCTTTTAAACTTTAATTTTAAACTACAAGAATTATTAAATGCAATTTATTAACTAAATTGCATTCAGATAATTTATTGCATTATTAATTGCATTCTATTAAATCTAAACTCGATTAATCTATCTTTTTCCAATCCCTTTCATTGGGAAATTTGCTCAAGAGTAATATTTCTCTCAGACAAAATTCTCGCATGAGTTCTTTCTTACACTTTTTACTTCACGAAACAAAAATTAAAGTTGCAAAATAATAAAATAAATTTGCAATAATAAAAATCATCGTTAAACAAATGCAACTCCAAAAAACGTAATAAAATAAACCAAACAGGAATTTTTATTCATGCTTACACTAATTCAATTTATACAATTTGCTGAATTTATATATTCTTCATTAATAATAATAAATTACCATATTCCAACTAAGCAAATTATTCAATTTAACTTAGAAATAATTATTATAGAATAAATATTACTATTATAATGCAACAAATAATTAAAAAGTGCAAAAAAAAATTACAGCTACGAGGCACGGGTAAACAAAAAAAAAAAAAAAACTTTGAAACACTTGATTTAAATGTTATTTTAAATCGGATTTACAGTATACTTTTTGCTCAGACATTTTTATGTAAAAATTTTAGGCATGCCATAAAAAAGATTTCTGAATATAACGATCATATCCAAAATGCGAGGGGCTGTTAAAATAAATAGTTCGAATCACTTCGGGTAAAAGGTGAATTTTACTTAAGTTCGTGTTGTTAGCTAGCTTTTTTTTTTAGACGTTTTAACAGTTCTTTTTATTTTTGATGCGTAATTATTACAATCTAGTACAGCTTAACTCAAGATTCTACGTGAGTTATAAGCTTGAGTCATTTTTAGAAAGTTTAAGTAAAGAAGAAAATGCGTAAGGTAAATTTCTAGACAACCTAATTCAGAATAAGTTTATAAGCTACATGCTTCAATTTTTTACGATTGAAAGACCGTTGAATAAATATATATCGGCATTTAAAACTTCTAGTACGCCATAACAAACAAAGAATTTCATTCCAAACTAATCGGCAATAAACCTAGTGTTATGGTTCAATATTTATGTCCTGTATCAACAATTATTTATTGTCTAAAATACAAATAAAGAATTGCCTTTCTCGGATTTCTAAACAACATTTTTATCTGCATGCGAGACATTCTAATCTCATGTTTTAGTGATACTAGTGATAAAAAAGAGTTAGTAGAGATAAAACATAATAGTGACAAAACATAATAGTGATTAAAAAGTGTTACTAGTGATAAAACATAAGTCATTATAGAATACATGTCATCGGTGAGCTTTTTATTCTGGACACAGCTCAAAATTCGTGTTTAAGAAAACGTACATTTGATTCCGATTTTCAAACTTCTGCTTATGAAAATAGTACTTTTTTTAAAGAAATAAACTGATGGATCCAAATAAAGTTCGTGATATGATGTCACTCATTTACCTAAAACATTTATTATATTTTTTTTAAAATTAAGGTTTCTTGAAAAGATATTAAAACTCAATAATTTTTTTACCAGGTTATTACGAATCGTATAAATTTATATAAGTATTAATATGGCGTTGTACGAATTTATATTTTTTAAAACGACTTAATCGTTTAGTATTCTGAATGAGAAGAGATGCCTGATAAGTTACATCAGTAATATACTCTACCAGACCTTGAAATACGGGATTTAGAACCGCAATGATTATGCTTAGTGTTTAAAAAAGTAGAGAAAAGGTAGTATGAAATTCCTAATTTAGTTGCTAAATTTAAGTTAAACATTTCTGCGAGGTATTTTTTCTTAAATACGCATTTCGATATGTACGAAATGAGTAGTTAAGAAAATGGACTCTGACAAAGTATGAAACTGAACTAAAACAAAAATGTTACATATTTTATTTTATTTAAAATAGCCAGGATCAGAATTACAAATGTTCTGCGTTTATAGTAAAATATAAACAAACAACTTCACCCCTTAATTATTATTATTTTTTTTAAATATATCGAAATATTCAATTTCGGAATTAAAAATGAAAAAAAAAAACTTAAAATAAAATTTAAATAAATATCAAATTCGCTATAAATGCCTAATACTGAAGCAAAAATTATAATAGCACATTAAGTTGTCATAGCAACTCGGACAGAAATCTTTATACGAGGATTTTGACTGTTTTGCAACGTAAGTCGCTAATTTGAGTACTTCCTGAAATATTTTGTAAAATTTTACATTAATAAGTAATTTCTTTAGCTAACGTCTTGAGAAAATTTGTTAAAAACAGTTTGAAATTGATTTATTTTATTTATTTCATTCTTTACAAAGGACACTTACGTTAAACAAGATTATTTTTAAAAAAAATATCAAATCTTACAAAACATCAAAGTACGTGCGAACTTAATTGAACCAGTAATACAGAAATTTTTGAATTACTGAACTATCTTATATCTTCAGATTATTTTTTAAAAAAATTAACAATCATTACGTAGAAATAAATCACAAGTAAATACCAAAAATTAAAATTAAGAATTTAAAAATTCACGAATCATTTAAGCTTATTTGAAATCGTTAATTAATCAAACTAATGCAAATTAATAAGACGTACTTCCAATTTTATGCTTCAAAAAAAAAAATTATTTCTATTCGATTCATATTCATTCATGTTCGAAATTTCTATTAGACCTTTAATGTTTAACTCCTACCTAAAACACTATTCTAATGTCCTATTTTATATCAGACCATTAAAGTAGAATTTACGGCAAAAAAAAAAAAGCTGGAAATAGTAATTTCTGTGTCAACCTACATAATCTAGGAAGCTGATTACGAGGTGCACTAAACTATATCTGAAAAAAAAAAAGGTTAGAGATCTTCGTTTACCTAAACAAGGTGTAAACAAAAGTACGAAGTGTAAAAACCGTAAAAGAAAGTACTAGCAACTTAAATCTTTCATACTTCTAAACCTCACAAGGAAGAATTTTATAACCG